AAATTTAGCTATTCTCATGTCTTAAAATGATCATTGCTTATTTGGTTTAGACAGTTAGCTTTAATGGACCAGACTCCATGTAACATTTCTCTACGTTACTGTGTGTTAGCCAACAACACTGCTTACTCAAATGTAAGATTTGTGGTTGTAATTTAAATGTAACACATGATTGATAAGCTGAATTGTCCAAAACACCAAATCCTTTGTAAGAAATGCATCAAGTTCAATTTTTGTAGTGTTTTTTGTGCCAGAAAGCGATAGTAATGGGAGTCTTGTCCTGTCTTTGCTGGTTTTGATAACACAATGAACTGAAACTTGAATGTTCAATATTATGTTTTGGTCGACACTACCCAAGCCACATTTTCCCAAAACACTGATTTGTTCTATAAGAAATGTTTTTTTTCCCTTGTATGAACATTTGCCACTGAGCAAGAAAGGGACAACATTAACAGATGTGTAATGGGAGTCTTGTATTGGATTTGCTGGCTTTGATAACACTTTGAATGTTTTGTCTTTCAATTGAACAATTCATTGAAAAGTCTATTAAATATTGTTATAAAAATAATGTTGAGACCCTCTTGCTCCATCATAAAGCTGTCCAATCCTAAAAACCAGCACCATTCAAACCTTCTATTATAAAATGTGGCTTTTTAGTTGTCTTCCTCGTGTTCTGGTGAAAAAATACACCTAATAAAATAAAACAAGTCGTGTTTTCTGAAGGGTTTGTTGTTTGGGTAAATCCGGCTCGCGTAACGGAAACAGAAACCTGACGGGTTACAACTTTTAAACACATTTTCACAGAACAGATTTCTGTGTGTTGCATTTGCTGTCTGCTGCAGTGTCCTACTTACACGTCTCCTCCCTCTCTGCTGCCACTGTGTGTGTGTGTGTGTGTGTGTGTGTGTGTGTGTGTGTGTGTGTGTGTGTGTGTGTGTGTGTGTGTGTGTGTGTGTGTGTGTGTGTGTGTGTGTGTGTGTGTGTGTGTGTGTGTGTGTGTGTGTGTGTGTGTGTGTGTGTGTGTGTGTGTGTGTGTGTGTGTGTGTGTGTGTGAAACAGGATTGTGTAGCTGTGGGTTTGGTTGTGAGTCAGACCTGCTGCCTCATCAGTGTGTGTGTGTGTTTAGTGTACTGTGTGTGTGTGTAGCTCGTCAGCTCTAATTAAGCTCGGCTGCTTAACGAGCAGACAGCTAATTAACACACTGAGGGAGAGCTACACTCCTTCATCTCTCACTCTTCATCTTTTGTTGGTTTATTTCTAATCATTCCTTCATTTTCTGTTCCACTTTCTTTCCTTCTTTCCTATGTCCTTACTTCCTTTCTTTGCTTCCATACTTTTTTTCTACCCCTTGTGCATCCTTGTCTCCTTCCCTCACTTTGTTTCCTTTCTGTCCTTCATCCCCTTTCATCTCTCTACACACCTCCCCCTTCCTTTCCTTTTTGTCCTACTTACTTTCTCTCCTTATTCCTTCCCTTGCTTCCTTCTGACCTTGCTACCTTCTGACCTTGCTTCCTTTATTTAACTCTCACTATTTTGACACCTTTTTATCCTTGAATGTTTCTTTATTTCCTCTTTCCTTTATCTCTCTCTTTTAATCCCTGTGCTCTCGTGATTTTTCACCTTGCATCCTTCAATCCTCCCTTCCTTTCCTTTTCCTGTTCATCTCCTCTCCATCTCTTTCCCTTCCCTACTTCCTACTTCATCTCCACTCTTTTGATCCCTTCTTTTCTTGCTTCCTTTCCTAGCTTCCTTTCCTCACCATATCGCTTTTTCCAACCTTGCATCCTTTTATCTTTCTTTCTTTCCTCTATCCCGTTCATCTCCTCTTCTCCTCTCCTTCTCTCCTTCCTCCTTGTTTCATCATCACATCTCTCATACCTAGCCCTTTCATTCCCTTTTTTCCTTCCTTTCCTAACACCTCTTCCTACCTTGCACCCTTTGCCTTCTCCTCTCCTTCTCTGCTTCCTCATTCCTTAATCTCCCCTCTCTCCAATGCACCCTTTTATTCCCTTCAGTATGTCCTTGCTTCCTTTCCTTCCTACCTTGTTTTCCTTACCACTTGTTCCCACTTTTAATTCTCCTTTATTTCCTCTATCACCTCCTCTCCTTCTCTCCTTTCTCCTTCCCTAATCTTTCCTCTCTTCTTTTATTCCCATTATTTCTTCACTTGAATCCTTTCCTTTCTCCCAACCCCCTTTTTTTTTTATCCCACCTCTCTCCGTCTCATATCCTCCTTCTTTCATCTCAGTTTCCTCCCTCCCTTCTGTCCTCAATGCTCTCTCTCTCTCTCTCTCTCTCTCTCTCTCTCTCTCTCTCTCTCTCTCTCTCTCTCTCTCTCTCTCTCTCTCTCTCTCTCTCTCTTTCGCCCCCCCCCCCCTCTCTCTCTCTCGCCCCCCCCCCTCTCTCTCCTCCTCTTCCTCTGTGGTGTTTTTCTGGGTCAGACTCAGGGAGGGAGGGAGGTTTTGGGGGAGATTTGGGGAATCTTATATTAGTCGCTCCACATTTTTTAAACAGACTGTTCATCTCCCTGTCAGCCCTCTTCTGTATTTAACATCACACACACATTATATACACTCTCACACACACACACACACACACACACACACACACACACACACACACACACACACACACACACACACACACACACACACACACACACACACACACACACACATTTTACACACAGCATCATCATAATCCGCAAAAATGCTCAAAAACAGGCAAAAAACTCTTAAGAAATTCCACCTCGTCATGGAGATTTTCACTCTTTTAGTCCCAGTATAATATTCATTTAGGATTTCTGTCTGAATAAACTGTATGTGATGCAGTTAAAGGACACCATTTTTACAAGTGTTTATGTTTTAATCAGCAATACAAAGGTATTATCAGACTGTACACTTTGGTTCTTTGGCTTTGTTAAATTAAATTAATTCTGGCACCTCATTTTGATTTAACTTTGATTCACATTCAAGCTTTTTGATTGCAATTTCAATGGAAAATCTGCTATGAACGTCTCCGTTTTGAAGCTGGGTGTGTGTTGATTGTAGATTGTTGGTGATTTGAATTGAAGCTTTGTAGTTGATGCTTTATTAAAAAAATAATGGTATATATAATTGGTAATTACCACTCAAGCCGAATTGTCAAAGTCTTTTACTGAGATATGCCTGGTTTACTCTAATAAAGTGTGTTGCCAAAAAGCAAGACAGAAACAGAATCTGATTCAGAATGGAAGTCTGGCTTTGGTCATTTCACAAGATTTAAGTGGTTTAAATTGGAAGTTTCTAGCTAAATATATTGGCATGACACTAGCCGAATTCAATCAGAAGAATAAGCTACATATACACATTTGGAACAGAGGTTTCTCTGGTTTGAACAGAGGGAGAAAGTAAAGGGTAGATAAGTAAACACCTAATTTGTATTTATTTATTTAGCTTTCTGTGTGATCCTCTAGCTTGTTAGCATTCCTCATTGTGTTTAATGGGGCTTTTAGCAATCAAGCTAACCAGATTTCTATGTTAGCATTCCTCATTGTGTTTAATGGGGCTTTTAGCAATCAAGCTAACCAGATTTACATGTTAGCATTCCTCATTTTGTTTAATGGGGCTTTTAGCAATCGAGCTAACCATATTCCTATGTTAGCATTCCTCATTGTGTTTAATGGGGCTTTTAGCAATCGAGCTAACCAGATTTACATGTTACCATTTCTCATTGAGTTCTCATTGTTGTTGTGTTAGCATCAGGCTAATTTGCTGTTTCCTGTGTGTGTGTTTCAGATTCGCGTGGATGGCATCACACCGCCTTCCCAGAATGCTTTGCTGTACGAGACAGTGACGGTGGTGGAAGGGAAGCCGATCCTCAGAGACATGGTGTTCAGTCCGGACCATCAGTACATCTACCTGCTGAGCGACAGACAGGTGAGAACACACACACACACACACACACACACACACACACACACACACACACACACACACACACACACACACACACACACACACACACACACACACACACCTCACACACTCACAAGTAAACACGCAAGTAAGTAAGTAAATAAAAACTCCATACATGATGAAGACTGTCCACATTATATCATTACATCAGGCCCTGCAGTTATTTATATTGTGTGTGTATGTACGTATGTGTCAGTTTGTGTGTGGTCATGTATGTGTGTGTGTGTGTGTGTGTGTGTGTGTGTGTGTGTGTATTTGTGTGTGGACTTGTATGTGTGGGTGAGGGGGGTGAATATAAATTCTGTTGTTTTAACATCTGCAGACAGGAAGTTGCAAATGTGAATAACGCTCAGCTGGCGCCACAATACACACAATGTTTGTATATGATTGTGTTTGTGTGTGTATGCTGATGTATGTGTGTGTGTGTGTGTGTGTGTCCCCTGTTGAAACTCTTATTGTACCGTTGAGAGGAAGCAGAGTTGAGTTCAACAACTGTTAGTTCCTGTGCAGCTGACGACACTCACACACACACACACACACACACACACACACACACACACACACACACACACACACACACACACACACACACACACACACACACACACACACACACACACACACACACACACACACACACACATATTCAGATATTATTTGCAGGTCATTCAGATATTTTCAGTGTTTTAGGACTGATGTCAGTAAACAGCTGTTGGAGTTCAGCCGGGCGTCATTATATATATATTTATTAGAAATAGTTATGAGTGTGTGTGATGTACCATGCAGTGCAGCAGCTTTTTAATCATCCTCACTGTAGTTTCAGTGACAGGTGGGCACACACACACACACACACACACACACACACACACACACACACACACACACACACACACACACATATACAGATGAGTCGTCAGTGTGTTTCTCTGCAGTGTTACATAAACATACATCTACACGAGGCCTCAGCAGCCAATCAGAGCGCAGCCTGGTTCCCTCAGAGTGAATCATCACAGTGCAGATCAGATAGAAACATATAGACGGTCCTTTATTTAAAGATTCCAGACACTAGAGATCTGTCAGTGGCAAAATAAAGATGTTTTTATTACATAACACTTTATTAGTGTGCAATTTCATGATACGAGTATATAGCAGGCTACAGAGATTATGCTTAACATGGGACTGATTTGTAATAAATATTGTCCAGGTTAGTCATTTAAGCACCAAAATATGGGCCAATTAAGGTAAAAAACGTTTTAAAAAATAACCCTTAAATATTGAAGCTGTTGTTGAAAATGTAATATGGTAAATGGCAGTATCATCATTAGAAAAAAAAGAGCCTTGAGATAATTTTTCTTTGAATAAATGGACCTAAGTTTCAATATTAAATTAAATATTACACATATGATAATGTTATAAAAACAACCTCTTAAATATTTTTATTTTATTTATTGTGTATGCTTTTGTAAAGTTTTACACCTCCAATAACTCAAATTAGTTATTTAATTGCATAGAAAAGGCACATTTCACTGTAAATAAGACACATTTAGCCTTTTCGTGTTTCAATAGATATGGAATTAGTGTCTTTATTTTTTATCATTTTGGCCCTGATAAACATGTTAATTATCAACTATATACATATATGATATTCTTATTAATAACATGTTTTATTATGATTACTTTATTCAATTCCCTTACAAAGTAAACATCATTGTTCGGATAAATGATACCTTTCATGTAAAATGACCCAATAAATCATTGCTTTTACACAGATTAAATACTTGTTATATGTGTATTGAAGGTGCAGCTTTTAGCAGATGTATTCCATATTATATATGTATTGTATTCTGCAGAGTTTAATCAATGCATCTCTGCAGTGAACTCACAGTATGACTGAGAGAGACTGTATGAGAACCAAAACTGCAGAATCAGCTGTTTTCTGAATGAAGTCTGGCACAGAGTTACAGCGTCACTGTTCCTTTAAAGAAATGCCCCGATAATGAGGTCTGTGTGTGTGTGTGCGTGCGTGCGTGTGTGTGTGTGTGTGTCGGTGTGTGTGTGCGTGTCAATGAGACAATGAATGTATTCATGTGTGAACGTCTGAATAAGACAGAGACAGACAGAGTGTCCACTGTGTTTGCTGTCTTCCTGCTGCAGTGACCTCTGGGTAAAAGATACTACACACACACACACACACACACACACACACACACACACACACACACACACACACACACACACACACACACACACACACACACACACACACACACACACACAGAGACAGACTCACACACTGACTAACTGTCTGTGAAATCAAGACTAATGTGTTACACACAGGCCTCGGGCTGTCTACTGTCAGCGGGAAACCACCAAACCACACTGAGATCACACACACACACACACACACACACGCACACGCGCACACACACACACACAAACACTGCACACAATGTGGGAATGATATCTCTGATGTCTTGCATTATCATTACACAACCAGAAAATCAATGTTAAGTGATTACATATATTTACCTCAATAACAATAAAGTGACGATCAATTAAAGGTTGAGGAATATATATTTATATTTGCTTTAAAGCATACATCTGGTGAAATGAGTCAAACCGGCAATAAGTGCATCTACAAAACAGGTATTATTGGTCTTATTTATCTTCTTCCTGTGTGCCATAGAGCGCCATTGTTGTGCAAAACTAATAAAAACACACCAATGCAAGAAACACTCACCACATGTGGATTTATTGCAGCTGGATATAGCCGCGCACCATTTCCTCACTTTGTTAGAAAAATACTAAAATTACCAGACATATTGACTTTGGGGTAAAATGAGACTGATCCTCTAAACTCTTAAAGGGTCTCTTGTTGCCTTTTAGTTTTGTTGTGAGGAATCCAGAATGTGTCACTTTTAATGTCCGCCGCTTTTTGATAAACAACATGTCCTCGTTATAGACAATCCTTTAATCTTCAGCTCGTTCTTCTTTGAGTTATCTTCCACTAAATTCAATTAACGTTCTGATCGCCAGAGGGCAATTCTCATGAAGCACCAGCTATAAAAACACTATCAAAATCTAAAAGACAAAAGCAAAACATGATGTAATAAAATATAAAAGCAAACAAAGTGTATTACAGTATAAGGTGAACTGAAAGTCATGTTTAATGTCAGCAAAAGCCAAAGAAATAAAGAAATAACGGAGCCTTGAGGTTCTTCTTATTATAGTCAATCATAATAATAATATTGTGTAAAAAGAATCTTGGGCCGCTTAAATAATGAATGATAGTTTGGGACATTTTTTTTACACTTTTCTTAAACTGTGCAATCAGACGTTCTCTCCACTATCCTATACTCTATACCAGGGGTGTCAAACTCAAATACACAGTGGGCCAAAATAAAAAAATCGGTACTAGTCGAGGGCCGGACAGGTTCAATGTCTATTGCAAAACTTATTGAAATGAACTTATTGCACATATTAAACCTTGGACTAACAAAGCTTAAAGTGGACCTATCATGCTATATTTGAATAATATAGTGTAGGACCATACCTATATAAGGCATATTTACACTTTTTTTTTTTCAAAATACCAAACAGATCATGCATTTTAGCCATGCCTCATTTCGCTCAATTTGACATTTTTTAGCTCTGTTTTTGCAAGGGTTGATTCAGTGAAAACAGCACCATCTACAGGCCTGGCATATGTACTACAGCGTCTCCAGCGCTTTCGAACGGCAATGGCCGTGGCTGTCTCCTCCTGATTGGTGGAGTTGGCCCAATAGCCGTAGCGCCACCGTCCTGACGTCAGGACAGTGTTCAAATCTGGATCAGTTTTTATCAGATCCGTTGCAGCCCCTTTTTTTAGAGATTTGGGTATGGAGGAAAATAGAGAGGGTTGTGTTTTCTGACACTTGGTGAGTTCCCTGGAACACCGGGGACACATATTCATGTATGAAAGACGTACAAAAGTGCATTTTGCATGATAGGTCCCCTTTAAATGATTGCCTATAAAAACAACATTAAACATTAAATAATCAGTTGCATTAATTTCTTATGGCTCTATCTGCAGCTTTTCCAGAGTCATTTCTTATGAGTACATTTTTCCACAGGCCAACAACAGCTTCAAAAAAACTATTTCCCTCAAAGAACAAACAAACATGCCCTGTTGTCACAAGAAAGAAAGTGCAGAAGGAAACATCCTTGTGTGCTGCTCTGTGATGCTAGTTCAAGCCAGATACTTGGCATCTCATCTTGGGTGCAAGTTCATCAATGTTTGGGGTCAGGCTCTGAGCTGAGGAGACCCTCAGGATGGAGCGAAGGTGTGCGTGCAATATACCGGAGGGGCAGATCTAATAGTAATTAGAAATTATCCTGCGGGCCGAAATTAAATCCACCAAGGGCCTGATTTGGCCCCCGGGCCTTGAGTTTGACACATGTGCTCTTTACTATATTTTAAGTATAATTTATTTAAGTGAAGTAAATAAATATAAGTAAATATGTTTAATTTGACAGATTCTTTACATTATATATGTGTCGCAATGGTCATTATTCGGAAATAAAATGGATATAAATAAATAAAAGTAATACATCTTCATATTTATAAATAAATAAAAGTAATACATCTTCATATTTAAATATATCCGTGCATCCAGTGATGCACGGATCACAGATGTCGCCTGTGATCCAGCCGACACACTGTTCGTGTGTCGGCTGGATCACAGGAGCAGCGTTGTGCCACATGCTTGATTATGATACGGCTGTAACTGTGTACCAACGTGTGTGTGTTATAATGTGTGTGTGATGTGTGTGTGCAGGTGACCCGGCTCCCGGTGGAGAGCTGTGATCAGTACAGCAGCTGTGCCACCTGCCTGGGCTCCGGAGACCCTCACTGCGGCTGGTGTGTGCTCTACAGCAAGTAAGACTCTTTATTTTAAATACATACACACACACACACACACACACACACACACACACACACACACACACACACACACACACACACACACACACACACACACACACACACACACACACACACTACTACACACAACTATAGACGTTATTTCTACCTGTGTTTTTTTTTCATAATATATTATGTTATAGTAACTTATATGATATGATTATTATTATATATATATTTTTTGTATTTATTTATTTGTATTTATTTATTATTATTTATTATTATTTATTTTATTTGTATTTTTTTATTATTATTTTTATTTTTTGCTAATGTATTATATATTATATATTATGCTGATAAACTACTACTAAGAAGACACACAAATAAAAATGCAGGACAAGGATTTGCAGAAACGTACTTACATAACAATTTAATTACCAACTCAACACGACTTTGTGTTAACAGTGTGTGTTTGTGCACCTTTTCTGTGTCAACACAACACACTCCATACGGGAAAGCACACACTGAAGGAAAAACAAATCAGGAGTAGAGAGGAAGTAGAACAATATAAATAAAGAAGAAACAGAAGAGTGTGTGTGTGTGTGTGTGTGTGTGTGGTTCAAACACACAACACATCTACTGCCGTGTGTTCCCATGAGGCGTCATTAATGTTTCCGTAAATGGTTCAACAACCAACCAACACACGCACACACACACACACACACACACACACACACACACACACACACACACACACACACACACACACACACACACACACACACACACACACACACACACACACACAGTGTCTCTGAAGTTCAGCCGGTGGAGGAAGTGCCTCTTTGAATTACCACCAGTTAACTCCAACCTTCAAAGTAAAAGCCCTGCACCATCAACCAATTAAAACAAGTATATAGTAAATAGTATTAAAGGTGGGGTATGTAATTCACTTCAGAAACACTTGTTGTTATATTCCATGGAATGCTCTTAACATCCCGATAGCAATGAATATATTAAATGCTTTGACAATAAATCCATTAAAAAATGTTCATCTGTGGAAGCCGTAATACTGTAAAAAGCACGACCAATCATCTGAGCCGGCCCGGCTAAAATAACTGGATGGCCTACCTGCCTGTCAGCCTTCCATCTGTGCACAAACTTATCTCGTGCCCTCATTGGTCATGTGCGCGTTCATGTGTGTTGGAGGAGGGGCTCTGTAAGGAAGTCTGAAGGAAGTGGCAGATTTCTTCCGGTTGTGTATTTTCAAATTCTAGCGCACTCGAGCTGGTTTCTCCAAAATTACATACCCCACCTTTAAGTATAAGAAATACTATTAATACTAATACAATTTAAAGATCCCTATATTTTTGTGTAGTGATATGCAAAATAGATTTAAAATTGATACAAAATATAATGTGTTTAATTCAACTGTGTTTGTTCGATGAACTATGATCCCTAAATAGTGTGGAATTATAATAACAATAATTACATTTAATTCAATTAAACTAAAAATAAATATGTTCCTCATGCTCCATATAAACAACATATGTGAGATTAAAATATATATTCTGTTTGCAAACACAGTCCTGACTGAAACAGATTGTTATCTCTTACTGTAAGTCAAATATAAAAGAACAGCAGTCAATCAAAAGGCTGTTCGCTCCTTATGTTATTAATGTAATAATAAAACACATCATGATTCACAGCAGAGTTCTCTTCCTGTCGCTCTCTCCGTCTGTCTGCTGTTAACCTGTTAAGCCCCATGCCTTTCACGAAACTGTGTCTGAGGGCTTCTTAACATTTAACAACCTATGAATGTGTCATACCCACTTAACGGGAAGAAACTCAGCTAACTGACGATACAAACCATTTTTAGCTTAAAGGGGACCTATCATGCAAAATGCACTTTTGTACGTCTTTTATACATGAATATGTGTCCCCGGTGTTCCAGGGAACTCACCAAGTGTCAGAAAACACAACCCTCTCTATTTTCCTCCATACCCAAATCTCTAAAAAAGGGGCTGCAACGGATCTGATAAAAACTGATCCAGATTTGAACACTGTCCTGACGTCAGGACGGTGGCACTACGGCTATTGGGCCAACTCCACCAATCAGGAGGAGACAGCCACGGCCATTGCCGTTCGAAAGCGCTGGAGACGCTGTAGTACATATGCCAGGCCTGTAGATGGTGCTGTTCTCACTGAATCTGCCCTTGCAAAAACAGAGCTAAAAAATGTCAAATTGAGCAAAATGAGGCATGGCTAAAATGCATGATCTGTTTGGTATTTTGAAAAAAAAAAAGTATAAATATGCTACTATATTATTCAAATATAGCATGATAGGTCCACTTTAACGAAACACAAGGGTGATGCCAAGCCTCTGAATTAGCCCTGAGCGAAAAAGAACAGAACTCAAGGTAACATACCCTTATTACTTATCGGATCTGCACAAACAAGATATCAGATTTAAAGCTGAGATTCCACTTATTCTAGAGGTATAAGTATCATCACGACTCGCGGCAGGGGAAGCAAACCCAGACAACACACAACGTAGCTTTACTGAGCGAAAACGGCAAATATGTCTTACCTTAGCTGTTTTTCTGATCAAAAGTTGTGTTCAATTGCATTAAAACGAGAAAAACGCTGCTGAAGGTTAATCCAATGTGTCTGTGTCACTTTGAAATGATTTCTGATAATCCATCATCACTTTATGGCAATAAGCCTAGTTTTCAGTTTTCAGAGCGTAACGTAGCTTTCGGTTTGGGCAAACTGCGTGCGCATCACTCTCACTCCTCAATGGTAACGTGTAGGTGGATTTAGGAACTTCCCCTCGATTCTATTGGCTCTAACGGTTCAAAAGAGGTGTCAATCATTTTTTTTGCTAAACCTCTCTAAAAAGGTCAAATGTCACTTGTTTTGCATCAATCTTGATACATGGTACTTATATGTTATAGTTTGGATTCCTAAAGCTTTTAGTCTCCAATCCCATCATTCAAGGGTAGTTTTCACTATAAGTAAGTAATGTGTTTTTTTTGGACGGACACTATAATTTACATTTTTTTACTATGTTCAATCTGAATTTACTTTAAAATAAAAAAAATCTATATTGATTCTGACTTTTCTAAATCGAACTCACAGGTTTATCATTGCTTTGAGAAAAAAGATTATTAATTTACCCCTTTTAGAAGTGAAGTTATAGTCATTTGTTCTGGGAATGTCATTTTCGAGCCTGAGACCTGAAAAACAGGCTCAACAGGTTCAGAAGTAAACACACACCTGGGAGGGGAAATACTTTTGAGCTTCACAGAGTTTTAAATTGATTAATTTCACTTTAATATGTGAACAGGTGTGTGTTCAGTATGTTGACCCTGTGTTACTGTGACCCTCCAGGTGTTCCAGACAGGAAGCGTGTGATAGGTGGGAGGAGCCTCAGCACTTCAACACCCGATTTGACCAATGTGTGGAAATCACGGTTACCCCGAGCAACATGTCCGTCACCTCCCCGGCAACACAGGTAAACTGGTACTCTTTAAAGTTCAGTAACTGAAAGGTGATTCTGTGGACACACCTTGACTCAGGTAACACACACACACACACACACACACACACACACACACACACACACACACACACACACACACACACACACACACACACACACACACACACTCTTAAAACCTTTATTTATACAGCAGTAGGAGGCATAAAGTTGAAGGAAAAGCCGGACAGGAAGCACTTCTTGTTTTCATGGCTTTTGTCAAAGTTAGAATTTGGTTCGATTTTAGATTTTTTTTAAGAAATGGGAAGCCTCTGTGATTTTATTGAGAAATTGTGTTTCAAAGATGCCTTGTGTTCTGTAGCAGAGGAAAGAAATACCTTAAACTTTTAATTTTTGTACATGAAATATGTACTAAATCTCTCTCATTAATGATATATATCTCTCTCTCCAGTTAGCCATCAGAGTGCAGAACGTCCCGGTGCTGTCGGGGGTCTCCTGTGTGTTTAAGGATCTGAGTGAAACCCCCGGAGAGGTGCAGGGTAAAGGTCAGGTGATGTGTTTGTCCCCGTCACTCAGAGACCTGCCCGCACACACACACTCCTACGGTGAGACACACACACACACACACACACACACACACACGCACACACACGCACACACACACACACACATACACACACACACACATTATTTACATGTGTTATCATCAGAGGTGGAAGTAGTGGAGTACAAATACTTCGTTACTGTACTTAAGTACATTTCTCTGGTATCAGTACTTTACTCCACTACTTATTTTTCTGACCACTTTTTACTTTGACTTCTTACATTTTGAACACAAATACCTGTACTTTCTACTTCTTACATTTTGAACACAAGTACCTGTACTTTCTACTTCTTACATTTTGAACACAAATACCTGTACTTTCTACTTCTTACATTTTGAACACAAGTACCTGTACTTTCTACTTCTTACATTTTGAACTCAAATACCTGTACTTTCTACTTCTTACATGTTGAACACAAATACCTGTACTTTCTACTTCTTACATATTGAACACAAATACCTGTACTTTCTACTTCTTACATGTTGAACACAAATACCTGTACTTTCTACTTCTTACATTTTGAACACAAATACCTGTACTTTCTACTTCTTACATGTTGAACACAAATACCTGTACTTTCTACTTCTTACATTTTGAACACAAATACCTGTACTTTCTATTTCTTACATTTTGAACACAAATACCTGTACTTTCTACTTCTTACATTTTGAACACAAATACCTGTACTTTCTACTTCTTACATGTTGAACCCAAATACCTGAACTTTCTACTTCTCACATTTTCCAAACAGGCTGGTTCCTTTAGTTTGAATGTGTGTTTGGTGGCGTGATCATTATTATTTAGAGTCATTGCGTGCCTATTGATTTGAACACGATCCGTGTATCCATCACTTCCTGGTCTTCTCTAAAGAAGAGGGACCAATGAAAACGTTGTCATGTTGCCGTTGTTCAGCATGGAAACATTCATTAGCTAACAATGACATTATTGTTCTATTAATATAAAGGGAGGTCAGGTACTCTTTAAAACAGCTGCTAGTTATGGGTACTTTTTACTGAAGTACATTTCAAAGCCCTCTTTACTTTTACTTGAGTAAAGAAGTTTAGTCAGTACTTCTACTTTCACCAGAGTATTTTTAAACACGAGTATCTGTACTTCTACTTGAGTAAGGATGTGTGTACTTTTGCCATCTCTGGTTATCATGGTATGAGCAGAGTCTGATGATGAATATTCTTAATGTTTCAGGAGAGAAGCGGGTGGTGCAGCTCAGTCTTCGCTCCACAGAAACTGGACTTGAGTTCATCACCACCAACTTCATCTACTACAACTGCTCTGTGCTCAACTCGTAAGTCTGAAAGCTCTTAGTCTCCTTGTTTACTCTCCTTTTTTCCTATCTTTTTGTTTCCCTCTCTTGATACCTCCCCCCTTATTACCTCTTTTCCCAAGTTTGCTTTCTTAAGTGAATCCCACACAAACCATCCTGATACCACGTTTTCTCAAAGAGCCCCAAATTTGGATCAATCCGCCGCTGAAAGTAGTCCTTAATGTATAATATACTACAACTGCTCTGTGCTCAACTCGTAAGTCTGAAAGCTCCCAGTCTCCTTGTTTCCTCTCCTTTTTTCCTATCCTCTTGATACCTCTCCCCTTATTACCTCTTTTCCCCAGTTTGCTTTCTCTGTTTCGTTTCCTTCTCTTACCTCTCTTGTTCCCTCTCATCTCCTTTTTTTGTCTCCTTGTTTACTCTGTTTGTTTCCTTTTCTCTTGGTTCCTCCCATTTGCCTCTTTTTCATTCCTTTCCTTATTTCTCTCCTTGTTACCTCCTACGTTGATGTTCCTCCCCTATCCTTATTCCCTTTCCTATTTCCTCTCCTCTTGTTTATTCTTTTCTATTTACTTTTCTTAATTCCTCTTCCCCTTTGTTTCCTCTCCTTTGCCTACTATCTTGTGCACTTGCATTTTCTTCTGTTTCCTACAATTTTTCCTCACCTTGTTTCCTAGTCTCCTTCTTCTTCCCTCACCTTGTTTCCTCTTTTGTTTCCTTTCCTCGTATTCCCTCTTTTCTTCTGCCTCCTCCCCTAGTCCCATCTCTTGTTGCCTCTCCTCTTCTCTCTTCGTTTTCCTCTCCACTAGTTTCCTCTATCTTTGTTTCCTCCCTCCTCTTCTCCTAACCCTAACCCTCTTGTGTCCTTCATCTTGTTTCTTCCTCTCCTCTTCTCTCTCCTTGTTTCCTCTGTCCTTGTCTCTCCTCCCTCCTCCCCCCCTCGGGATTGGCAGGTTTTTTCGGGGTAACATAATCTGCGTGGCGGGCTCTCGTTGTTGCCTTGGTAACAGCAGCAGCTCTGAGCCTTGGACACAGACACTTCCTCTCACACACACACACACACACACACACACACACACACACACACACACACACACACACACACACACACACACACACACACACACACACACACACACACACACACACACACACACACACACACACACACACACACACACACACTGAGCTGTAATGTAAAGTCTCAGCACACGGTGATCTGTTTTGTTAAATGCAGTGTGTGCGTGTGTGTGTATGTGTGTGTTAGATGCAGGATCCTCTAACCTGCTGAGCTCACACACAGATTACATTTGAACCACAACAATCTGCTTTAATCCCAAAACCTGGCAGATTATTTATATTCCGTATCTCTCTCCCTTTTTTAGACTCAAACCAGCCGATTGATCTTCTGTCTCTCTGCCATAGAGCTCAATTTGTGTCCAAAATCTATTAAAAACCCATCTATGAATCCCACAATGGACATGTGTCTTCATCATGGACACACACACACTGTCGTTCATTTTAAATCAACCCCACACACACCATCCTTATACCACGTTAACTCACAAGAATCCCTAAATGTGGATCCATCCACTGCTGAAAGTAGTCCCCAACAAATGCACACACTAACATGGTGTGTTTAATGTCTAATATTGGATAAATACCATCTAATGGCTTGTGTGATGAAGCCGTTATCCTCAGACCGTACAGTCCTGAAGCGTTGTCTTTACAAAACTGATCGGAAAAATGTTTTGATATGAAGTGACAGGGTTCAAAGACTGAATTTACTCTCAAGGAAAAACAATTGTTACCCTCTCATTATTTAACCTCCCTCTCTTCCCCCCCCCTCTCAGATGCACTTCCTGTGTCAGCAGTGAGTTTCCGTGCCATTGGTGTAAATATCGTCACATCTGCACCAACAACCTGCAAGACTGTTCCTTCCAGGAGGGACGGGTCAGCAGCATGGAGGTACACACACACGCACGCACGCACGCACGCACGCACACACACACACACACACCAAATAAACTCTGTCATCTTCATTATGAGGGTTACTGCATGCATTTGGGTCTGTTGTAATAGGGACATCCATACACACACACATATAGAAACATTGGTTATGACCATAGACTGTTGTGACACACTTACTCAAACACACACACACACACACACACACACACACACACACACACACACACACACACACACACACACACACACACACACACACACACACACACACAAGGAAGGAGGACTGAGTAGTGTATCCCTAAAGTGTATGGTTGATTTACTTAAATACATTTAAATCTCTGAACTGAATTTGAAATATTGACATTTTGATCTGGAAGCTTTATGAGCACCTCTGTCTTACTACTTGCACTTCATATTCATTTTAGGCCATTACATTAATTAATGTGGCTATATATATTAATAAACTATCATAAATATTCATAATTAAACTACATTATTTTGTATTTATTCTATTATACTATTTAATCCAAAAGTATGATGTGATACATTTCAGTATTTCTACATGTTATGCTTCTGGCTAAAACATGGGTCAAATAGCATCTAACTACCCAGAATATTTTAGACAACTTTAAAAATATATAATTTAGAATATGATGTTTTTTAAACTGATGGCTTTATGTAGTTTGACAGCATGATATATAGTTATTTATAGTTTTGAGTCTGCAGTGTGAATCAATATTTATTTTTCCTTCTCTGGATGAACGAGAGGGAGAGACGGAGGTCAGAGCCGCTTTCTCTCTGTCATTACACGCTTCAGTAAACAACAGTAAAGCTGCAGGTCAACATGAAGGGCACACACACACACACACACTCACACACACACACACACCCACACTTGCTGATGCGTTCAAGGACTCTGTGAAGGATGTGATTTAAGTTTCTGGGAAGCTTTAATGAAGTGCAGTTTTCAGAAAACAGGCATTGTACCTGGATGATAGAAAAACTGTGACGTAGTGTTTGGTAATCTCAAACTTTAATATTGTTTTAAGCAGTCCTAGCTCTCAGCTGTATATCTTATGATGATGATATGAATACGACGCAAATATGAAGCTGATTATCTGCGTCAACGAGAGATGATTTTCCTAGAAATGAAGGGAAACTAAATTCAGAAGGGAGGAAAGTAAATCTGAAAACTGGGGATTTGGAAAAGCATAAACTGGGATGTGAAACGTTCCAAAACACGCAAAAAAAGTTAGTGTTTCTTCTTCTTGTCACGCAATAATATTACTGTTGATTCAATTTAATATAAATGTATCAATTAATGAACTATTTTAAACTGTATACATACAACTATTAACAAAGTACAAAGTGCGTCAAATAATCGTATGCAAGTAATTTATAGAAAATAGAAAAAATCAGGAAATAATAATGAATAAAATATCTAACTGAGACAATTATGTAACTATCTTGTAATCGATGAAATAACAAATACTTAACCTGTTAAGCCCGAGAGACCCCGGTACCGGGGTCAACTAACTGATCTTTTTTTTTTTTTTTTCAAAAGAAAACCCACAATGCTAACACTGAGCCTCTGAATTAGCAACGAGCGAAAATGCTAACAGATTACTGCACCGAAAATCACTCATAAAACCTTATTATTTATCTTTTCTGCACATCCAACACATTGATTCACATCGTGAGGTGACACAGAATAGATGGGTACATACATTATCACTCTATGATACGAACTCGCGACTTTATAAACAAAAACAGACATCAAAACATGTGGCGCTAGGTAGCTAGAAACGCTAACATGGCTTACCTGTGTCGTAGTCTGGTCAAAAGTGGTCTTCAATGGCATTAAAACGATAACAACGCTGCTGAAGTTAATCCATATGTTAATCTAATGTGTCTGTGTCCCTTTGAAATTATTTCTGATAATCCATAAGCAATAAAACTGCTTTTCCGTTTCCAGATGTCAAAGCTAGAGATAGGTCCACTCTGATGCAAAATTACATGCGCGAAGCCCCCACCTCTTCTCTTCACAATGAGTGTGTGTGGGGGACTCCCCCTTCGATTCTATTGGCTCTAACGGTCAGAAAGAGGTGTCAACCATCAAAATCGAGCAAGGGGGGGGCCAGAGATATGGAAAATCCACCCAAATGACTTTTTGCTAAATCTCTCTAAAAAGGTCACATTTCATTTGTTTTGCATCAATCTTGATACAGGGTACTTATTATATGTTGTACTTTGGATTCCTAAAGCTTTTAGTCTACTAACCCATCATCCAAGGGTAGTTTTCACTATAAGTAAAAAAGAAATGTTGGACGGGACACTATCATTTACAGTTTTTTACTATGTAAAATCTGAATTTTCTTTAAAATAAAAAACATCTATATTGATTCTGACTTTTCTACATCCAACTCACAGGTTTATCATTACTTTGAGAAAAAAGATTATTAATTTAACCCTTTTAGAAGGGAAGATATGATCATTTGTTCTGGGAATGTCATTTTCGAGCCTGAGACCTGAAAAACAGGCTCAGGGCTTAACAGGTTAAATACTTGCTGCTATACATTCAACCAAAAACGATGTCCAGCAGGTCTCTGAATGTTCATTTCTTTAATAGAGTTGCAATGAAACTACTGTCTGAATCAATGATTTGATAAAAAACTAAACAAAGTACAGACAGTAAAGATGAGAGCAACGCTAACCAGTACTATACTTTGGTGTCTTCAAAGCTGCTGCGTAGTGTATTACACCTCAAACAACAAAACAAATCCAGAGTTACTTTTTGCATCAAAGCACCGTTTCCTATTGGTATTGAAAGTAAAGTCTTGTTTTCACTGAAGAGCAATCAAGTGAAGAGTATTTAGGTTTAATAATCATCATCATTATCATTAAAACAACTCCTGCTTTTTAAGTGAATTGGATCTCCTGCTGTGTGAAGGAGTTCTGTTTCACAACATAATCATAAAACCCAAATTATTTAAAGTGTTCTCACCTGGTGCAATTAAAGACAGGAAGTGATTCAAGGGGCCCTATCCTGCTTTTTGTGGTGTTCCCTCTCCAGTAGTGTGTTCTATAGGTTTAGTGCATGTCAATGATCTGCAAAGGCTAAAATCCCTACCTGTTTATCTTCCTCCTCCTTATTTTTACTTCTATAACATAATGACATCACTACGTAACCCTCATGCTTCTATTGGCTAGCGCTCCAGCACATTGTACCTGATACGCTAAGGGGCGGGACATCTCTAAGCGGTTGACCAATCACAACAGAGCCGGCCAGCTAACCAATCAGAGCAGACTGGGCTCTGGTTTCAGACAGAGGGGTGAAAAGAGGTGCTGCAAGCACAGGCAAGTATGAGACAAATAAAGAGCGGTGTGCAGAGTAACCTGTAGGCAGCCGATAGGTTCCCTGTCAGGAAACTGAGTCACCTCTAACGAGCACCTTGTTAGCTCGGTTAGCGGTGGAGAGCTCTGTTCGGGGGGTCTCGTGGACGTGATTGGTGCTCGGTGTCATTGCAGGGTGACAGTAACAACCTCTGATTTGGCTAATTTGCTAATAGAAGATGAATAGCCACTTAATTGACATGAAAGCGTCCAATCACAGCAATTAATTTTAATTACCAAGCAATTAGGCTGACTAAGAGAGCGGGAGATGATGAGGGTTGTTAGTTTTGAGAGTGGAGGAAAGAGACTCATGATATAGAGAAGGAGAGAGAAGGAGGGAGAAGGAGAGAGAAGGATAGAGAAGAGAGAGAGAAGGAGGGAAGGAGAGAGA